TGCGGAGCGGGATTCTACAGCGGCCCCAACAGCCCTTGGCATGAGATATCGGATACGATTCAGGGCTGCAGGGATCCTCTCCAAACTAAGCCACTTTCGGAATGTGAGATTTGGGGCTTGGCATTGGTAAGTCGTGAGTGGCCGCGGGGGTGAACGTAAGCCGTCGGGGCTACGCGGTGTGGCGGTTCAAGCGGGCCCATGCTCCGGTTTCAGGAGCTTTGCTGTCGAAGCATTTAAGAACTTGACCACTGCATTGTTGAAAAGGACTGTTTCGGCTTTCAGCTCCTTTTTTGGGTGTTGTGCCTTCGGTGGGCAGGCTGCGACGACACCCCAATCGAAATCTGCCCCCCCTGCCCCCTCATGCTTCGAGGCCACAGCCTAATGTTTGGGGCTACTCCAGAGCGCTGCTTGCTGGTCCAAGCTTATAAAATGGGGGATTAATCTCGCTCTCGTTTTGGCCTACCTACAACTTACCCGTTGAATGGCAGTCACCCAGGTTGCGACCAATGCCAGCCGGCCCGCTACAGCTCTCACCGGCAGGCCAGCCGGAAGTTGTCCAAGCACACAAATTGAGGCCACAGTACCATGTGACGTTCATGGGGTTTGGGGAAGTTTCGACAAGCTTTCCTTGTTCTGTCGTCGGCTATTGGTAGGTGCCTTCTTCACTGGGCCCTTGATGCCGGGATAGAGTCCGGAGTGAAGCAGCAGCTGATGCACACGTATGGACCCAAGCTTATCCAAGCGTGTCCTTCGCGAGGAGTCCTGCTCGCAGTGTGAGGCCAGACCATGTCGCGCTTTGAGGTTTGCCGTTTTTGATCGAGCCAGGCCTTAGCATTCGCAAGCACCTAGCATATGAGTGATCCAAAATTTCTTGTCGGGTCTGTGTAAGTGAAGCCTTGTGAACGCCAATGCTTGTTCAGGGTGCTTGGGTGGTAGGCTCTACAAAATGAGACCAGCTTCTTCTGTCAAGCAAAATCTTGTTGATTGGCCCACCGAGTATCGAGCAACAGCGCATGTGCCACGAGTGCATTGTTTTCAAGCTCCAGTACGTTCTGTCATGGAACCAGCAGCGTTTGGGCGTTTGGGAGCACCGCCTACCAAACTTAAACCATTCGTCATGGCACGGGGCTGAGGCTGCCAACCTGCTACGTTTTGAAACCATAGTAACTACAGGGGTTTGGACTGAAGGTTGTTGCACGCCTTGTTTCACGATATCATAGTGTCAGACTGGGCGACCTCAGGTTTAGTAATTCTTTCCTCCACATCCCAGCGGACAACCATGCTGCACAAAGCAGAAGTCCAAGCACTGGACCAGCGACAAAGGTGTCGTAATCGGCTTACATGATTCCTGATGAAGCTCATGCTTCAGATGGTGGCAGGCTTAGATGCCAGGCTTCCGCACTAAAGGAAGCTGCCACAATGAACGCCTGTTGCACAGCTCAAAAAAACACGAAGTTGTAGACCTAGGTCCTGAAAATGGATGCCGCAAGGAGGCACCTTGCCCGTAACCCAAAGCAAGCGGAGCAGGCCGGTTTCATCGTCAACGAGTTGCGCACGGGCTGTGAGCCTTGTCCCCTTGGAAGCTTCTCTGCCTCGCCGGGGGCAGCCGCACCTGGGCGCAGCAAAGAACTGCAGTTTGCTGGAAACACTGGGGGTTTAGGGTTTACGGTTCAGGGTTTAGGGTTTTTCAGCTGCTAAGTCAACAACAGAGACCGTCCCGCCCAACAGGAGACTGGTCGATGTGGGTTCTCTCAAAGTTTAGTCGCCGCATGCCCTTCGTAGCCCTTTGCAAATGAGGTCTTGGCGTTGGTGTGGTTCATCAGTTCATCAGGCTTGGGTAGCCTGTAGGTGCAGGGATCCTAAGAAGCTGTATCAATGTCTTGCATTTGAAGGGGGTGGGTTTTGATGTTATTAAATTTTGAATTGGAACCCTGAACCTTTCCCAAGCCACCCATCCAAGCACCTAAGAACTGCACTCCTTGCAGTGTCGGCAAGTATGGCATCGCGGACTGACAGGGGGATGAAGGGTGTAGGTTGTGCCTCAAGGATCGAACTTGAGCGTGTGCTTGACAAAGAAGTCATGAGGCCTCAGAATCGAGATAGTTGCATCAAGAAGTGCAAGACAAGTACTCCGTGATCGGTAGTCAATTAAATAGGGGCTCGAGCCTTCTCACGTGTCGGTGCGCAGAGATCCACAGTGCTTAAAAAGGCCCAGTTCGTCGATCTAGGACTTGTGCAGATCCAAGCTGCTGCTAAGCTACTCGGGCCATTCCAGGCACAACACAGAGGCCAGCCATAACTCTGTGTGCGTCTGTGTCTCTGTGCATCCGTGCAGCTCAACAGCAGGACGGGGAGACCTCCGAGAGCACCGCGTGCGAGGACTTCCGCATCATGCTGTTAGTTTGCAAATGGTTTTTCAGTTTAGGTTGAAGCAGGGTCTAAGCACCCTCGATGGAAGACAAAGGCGGCCAGTACGTCGTAGCGGGTGACACTCCAATCCGTCAGCCACGGTGTTGGCAGCAGCCACTGTAACGCTATTTCTGTCTCTTAATGCCGAGGCGAGTCGAAAAACCAACCAGGGTTATTCCCCAGAGCTGTTCTCAGCTGCTGAGTGTTTTTGGTATCGTCCAATGCAGGACGACTGTCTTCATACCAAAATCCTCCAAGGACGAGCATTGAACGGACACCTGAAACTCCGAACCTTCAAACCAGTCTTCAACCGGTGCACTCGACAGGACTGCCCTGCGGGCAGACATAACCCAGCAGAAGGCCATGAATGTTTTAGTTTTAGAGTGTTGTGTGCTCTTGTAATGGGCTGGAGGATGCCAGGGTTGACAGTGAGCTTCGGGTTGTTGAGTCCAGGGTTGCGGACCGCGATTTCAGCCAGCCCGGCAGGCAAAGGGCTCATGGCGGGTTTGGGGCTTGGTGGTTTTATAGTGCATGCTGCATCGGGACGCCTCCAGGCCTCACGGCCCAGTCGGGCTGCGTGGAGTGCGCCGCTGGCACCTTCTCGCGGGCTGGTGCCGCAGGCTTCCATCCCGCACAGTGCACTGCTTTTCGGGGTGATTTGGGGCTGAAGGTTTGGGTCTGGGGGCTCGAAGCCAACCTTAAAACCTTCGCATCCCTGAAATCAAAACCCCTGTAGACTCCATGGCAGGGTTGGCTTGCGCGCAGACTGGGGAACTGCGATCTCAGGAATAGACAGAAGGAATAGACAGAAAGAGAAATTCTTACATGCATACGTCACGGTGTGTGTAGGGCTGCTGAGCAGTCGTGCTTATGAGATTCTGCCTTCCAACTAAAGTAGGAAGCTCCGAAAAGCGCGCGCTTGCTTTTGTGTGTGTGTGTGTGTTTGGTTGGTTGGTTGGTTGGTTGGTTGGTTGGTTGTTTGTTTGTTTGTTTGTTTGTTTGTTTGTTTGTTTGTTTGTTTGTTTGTTTGTGTGTGTGTGTGTGTGTATTCAGTATTTGGTTTGTTTGTTTGTCTGTTTGTTGTGTTGTTTGTGTTTTGTTTGTCTTGTTTGTTTTGTTTTGTTTGTTTTGTTTGTTTTGTTGTTTGTGTGGTGCAACTATGTTGTTGTGGTACGAGTAGTGTTCACCCTTCTGTACGTTAAGAGTTTACTTGTTTGATATTGTTTTGGTACGAGTAGTGTTCACCCTTCTGTGCGTGAAGAGTTTGCTTGTTTTATATTAAGTGTTTAATGCGTTTTTGGTGTATCTTGTTGTTTGTTGCAAGATTCGTCCTAAGATGCCACTGCTGCTTATTCTCTCTGACGCGCTTTGCTACTCGGGCTTGTCTATGGCTTAACTTTGAATCCTACCTGCCCCGTGCCCTCGGGCCTCTCTCAGCCAAGGCTGCGACGACTGCAGTGCCGGCACATACCAGGTCCAGTGACAGTGCCTCCTTCCCATCTTCCCTGGTTGGAAGTCTTTGCATGACAGCTAAGGCTAAGACCTACCCCAACGGACAATGCCCTTAAGTAGACCGCAATGTTCTGGATTCTCATGGGCTTAGTTGCAGGAACAGCCTGGCTCCAGCGCAACCCGGCAGGAACAGTTGCGTTGGATCTGTGAAGATTTTCCGGTATAGGGGGGCGGGCTAAATCCGACCCTGAACTACACAAAAACAAGACCCACCCAAGTCGTACAGCAGATTCGTATGCAGGAGTCTTGCGGTTACGTTACGCAAGCCCTAAACCATCAAACCACATCCCGAGACGAATGCTTTCTCGGCTTTGCAGGAGCTGCTGGCTACATGGGGTTTCGGACCCAAAGCACAGAACTCTAAGCGCATCAAGTGCCAGCATGTCAAGCTCCGCTGGCTTCGGGAATCTAGAATCACCGGAACCCTTGCCTGAACAAAGCCAGAAACCCTCTTGAAGTCTTGGCATGGGTTCGCTTCAGCTTTCACTTCGGTGGCCCTGCCCGTTGCTCATTTCTCTAGATCCGAAAGAGCTCATGATTGATCTTGCTGACTTGCTGACTTGCTGTTTGGCTCTGTGCCTGCCGCCTGTCTCCAAGCCTGCAGAGCCTCGGCGGAAGGCAAAAATTGCCGCAATGGTAAGGACGCACTGAGTCGTAAGAATAGTACAAAGAGCACTAAATGCCGACTCATGAGATTGCAGCGTGGTGAGATCCAATGCCGTCATTGGAGTGATGCTAGCAGCAAAAGGTGGAATGCCAAGAGTTCATGCGCTGCCCACCATGATTTGTCCCTCCTGCCCCCTCCCCCTCCTTTTCCGCCTCCCTCCCCCCCCTCTCCCCCCTCCCCCCTCCCCGAGGATGTTCTTTAGTGTGTGGTTGCACGGATGTGGAATGGGCCAAGGATTCTGCAGATGTGATGTCAGGCCTCCACATACTCGTCGGTGGTGAGCTCTGGCTCAATTTAGAGCGCATTTCCGGGGTGGTGTGGGGATGCCCTTTACATGGCACATGGCATCATGCATCATTCCCATGCCTCCCATGCCCTACAACACTTTGCATCTTTGTTGCGGAGGAGACGAATGGTCATCACTGTGCTGGCTCTACTAGGCATAGGCCGGCATTGAAAGCTAAACCAAGGTTTCGGGGCTGTTGAGCAGGGTTCGGAGATGCAGAGCTTAGGGCACTTAGTCCATGCAAACGGGGAGTTGTGGTTGAGGGTTGATAGTTGGGCAAGGTAATTCTCAGGGTTGGTGTTGGGAAGAGACCTGCGACCGATGATTCCAGAATGAGACAAGGCAGGACAGGCTGTCATCTTGGCAAGGCATTGTCGCATTCCCCAGCCCGCCTGTCCTTCGCATCTTTCTGTATCTCTGTTCAAAAGAATTCTTTAGACGTGGCACCCATGACGATGACAGATGCTTGACGATGCTCCCCCCTCCCTCCCCCCCCCCCATATGCAATGCAACTTAAGCAAGCTACGTGCCTTGGAAAGTGCTTGAATCGCTTGAGCATACTCTTGAGGAACCTCGCAATGTAGGCTGTTTGTACATGTTTAAAGGAGCTGATGGCTCCACCAGACATGTCGGAGCCATGGCGTCCGTTGATGGCTTCGCTGATGTCGGAGCTGGAACAGATGTCACGCAAACTCCGCAACATGAACCAGGAGTTTGCGGGAAGGTGCAAAGAACTCATGCTTCCCTTGAAGATAGACTACCAGGCAAATGTCAAGCAATAGGCCCTGGCCTTGCTTTCTTTCCTACACTCACTCCCCACCCCGGCCTGAAAACAGTAACCTTGTAGGTATTGGGTTCGGGGGGTGTTCCATAAGAGTATATGAAATGATCACCAAGAGTGGAGAGAGCTCTGGCACTCCAATCTCACAGTACCTTTGCCTTGTGCATTTTATGAGCTGCCGCCCGATCCCCAATCCCGCTTTGCCCTCAAAAAGACCACAGAGTCGGCAGCCTAAGCCATCGACAGATTCACTCAATACGTGAGAACCAGATTGCAAACGTTTTGCCAAGTTGTTTGTCTGGAGAGCGGCGATAAAGACTGTAGCCGCCGCAGGAGAGTGACTCCTTCAGGGAAGCTCCGCCGCATTTGACAAAAGCGCAAGAGATGAGCTATTTGATGTTGCACGTTCTTTCGGTGCAAGCTGTAAACTTCATGTGCCTGTTCCTCATAAAGCCCGGACCCGAAGCATCATCATACAAGCCCGAAACTCCCCGAATCGACAGGCAAAGGAGTTTATAGCATGCCTTGCGTCGTGAGCAGCCTGGTTTCAGGGTTCTAACAGCGCCTTGAACCCTTAGGGTCCCTATGATGCTGTAGCAGACGCTGCATGCTGACATCGCCTTCAATGAGGATCGCTACGACGAGCGCGCCTTGAGGCCCGCACAGCCGGCATGTCCTCCATGTCCGCCTCCTGGAGCTCTGCCACCAGTACTCACTTCCATGCAGCCTCTTGGGCCTGAGTGGTACTTTGTTGTTAGTTTTGCTTTGCTGGCGGAAGCGATAAGTTGTGGACTTCCTGATAGAGAGTCGCCCCAGAAATCGGCTTGAGTCGCTGATTGGCTGCCCAGGCCGACGCCTGCTTTGGTAAGCCATTCGATCTTCGCGAACACGCACGGAGGCTCCCATCTTAATCACGTACCTGTCACTACCTCTCAGTCTAAGTTTCTTAGAGTTCCCCGCTTATGAGTCCTAATGAAGGAGGCCAGAACAAGCCCGAGATGCGGTTCTTCAGACGAGCCCAGCCCGCCCTCCAAACCACTCGATCCACCCTGTGACAGGCCAACACAGGCAAATCCAAAGCCAATGTTACCTTTGTTTTCCATGGGGCATGGTCGTCACTGGTTTAGCTGCTTCATGGGCCTCATCGGTTTGATCCAATCAGTTTTGCGGCTAACACTCTTTATTTGTCGTCGGAGCTTGACTTCTCCCATGGGCCGTGGCTGAGAGTGGTTCCCACATGTTGCCTTTTTTGGTTAGAGATCCTTGTTCCAGTCAGCAAGAGAGGCTCATCCCCACACGCTGTGTGTTGACGCAAACCCTACAGCTGTCTAGGACGATGGCCCTGGGTCAGGTTCTGTATTCTGCCTTGACACGGCTTGCCATAGAGGCGAAGTCGTGCCAACCATGGGCGTTGTAGACAAGTTTTCACGTCATGCTGGCAACCAAGATGCCCATCAACAAGCTTCGCATGCAGGAGTATATACCACTGCTCAAAGCCTTCAAGTTTTATGGCTGACATGATGCATGGATTCATGCCTTTAGCCCAATGTGCTTTGGCAGGAGATGATGCGTCTGCATCTACGGCAAGTCGAACCTCACAAAGTGCAGCCCTCCTCGGCAAACTTGAGGACAGACTAAGCCACCGATGTTCGAGCAGATGCCATGGTCATGCAATTTGCCTTCCCAGGCGCAACACTTGGCTGTTCCGACACGGTACACCGCCTGGCTACCAGTAGGGCGCACTTCAGTGGCACACTAAGGCTGCACTTCAGTGGCACACTAAGGCGGTCGATTGTGGAGGCTTTTCTGTTCACGTAGTCGACGTAGTTCCACTACGCAGAGGAGCTGCCACTGAACTACGTGTCAGAGTTGTCGGACAACTTCGGGCCGGTCTCAGAGTATCTGGGACTATGTCTGTTGTGCCTTCTTTTGTTGGGTTTTCGATGGTGCCACATGCAGTCCGGTCACCGACACATAATACAGCAATCAGCAGTTGCCGGTTTAAATATGCGCGGCGCCCGAATGTGCTTGGCCGTGAGCGTAGAAACCTAAACCGGATGGACAATCCCACACAGTCATGTGTCGTGCCTGCCATGCGCGTGAGCGATGAAGCATGATGAAGCAGAATGAAGCATGATGAAGCCTCAAACCGAACTTGAGGAAGATGGCCCGCGGATCCCGCGGAATTGCGTCAGAGAAGACTTCTGAGTCCAAGATGGGCTTCGCCGACGTGGCGTTGAGTAAGCAGCTCTGCTGCAAGCATCCCGGAATCTTTGAATCTTTGAGGCTGATGGCCCGCGGCTCTCTAAACAGAGCAGCCCCCATAGAACGAAGCGTTTCACGCATGAACATCAAGCATCTCTTCCACAATCCAACATGATTATTTAGTCTACATCAAGAAGGAGCTGTACAAGAACCGTAATTGTGTGTAGTATTACACCCCAGGCCCATGACTTGCGATCCGCATAACCCCATACTCGAACCACCCGCACCCTTGTCGCCTTCTCTCTATCCTGAAGCATCCGGTACTTCGGTTCGGAGGATGACTTGGCCAGGGAATTGAGTACTTATCCCTCCTTACGATGTGTTCATAGAAGCATATGATGCAAATTCATGTATGTCTTAAGGGAAAAGGGGGTCTTCATTGTATATCAATATGAATTAAATTGCATATCATAACCACGAAGTATTGGATCTTCTGGGCAGCCGAAGATCATGTCCAGACGGCCCTGGCTGTTTCGATGTTGGAGGCTCGTGGAACGGGAATGGGACAAGTTGTTTCTTTGGGCGGTGGCAAACCAAAGCTGGAGCTGAAGCACATACACACATGCACCAATCTCGTCACAAGCCCTAAGTCTAACGAGGAAGCTTGCAACTCAGCGGATCGACTTCATGATCCTCCGGGCTCAGAAGACCAAGCACTTTGAAATCGAGAAGCCATGGTACATCATCAACCCTGCCGCCTGGGCGCGGAGTTTAAATTTTGGGTCCTAAACTACCTAGAAGCCTCCCAAGTGTGACTCCCTTTATGGGGCACCTCTTGTTGACAGTATGGGTCATGAGGTGCCCGCAACAGGGGGCTGGGGGGGGAGGGACAACCTGGCATCGTTGTTGTCGGGAAATTGTGTGGGGGTTCAATGGAGTTCATAATGATGGGGTCATGGGAAGTCGGCCGCGCAGCCATTTTCTTTGCAGAGTGTTGGGTCCCGTAAGTCCCGTAGAAAAAACAAGGGAAGTGTTCACGGTAGCCTACAACAAGAGTTCAGAAGGGAAGCCTTTCCCGAAGTAGCCTGACCTTCCTGGTTGGTAAACCTCGCTGATCTGCAGATGACTCGAATCCTTAAGGCTTATATATGGTTCTGTTTTTCAACAAACTCAACGAAGGATAACAGCTCTTTAGCAGCAGTGTGGCAGTGCATTACCTGCTTGGCTCTTACCTTCGTGGCATTGAGTCTCGGCTGTGAGGTCGCCGACCCAAGAAGGCACTTCGGAATTTTCGGAGTTGGGTGAAGGTGGGCGAATCCAAGCTGGAATCGGGTCCAGAGCACCTGTCGCCTCCACTAGTCTTCTGCATCCCGGCCCAGCCTCTTTGCCTCCATGCACCAGTAAAAACTTACATACTGAATTCAAGTTGCTGCGGTAGCTGAGAACAGAGATTTAGCCCCCTAAGCCCCAAACCCTAAACCCTAAACCCTCCTGTGGAGTGATCCCAGAGGGGGTCTGCTAGGCGGGTGGCAAAAAAAAACCCTCAACCCTGAACCCTAAACCCTAAACCCATACCTCAAGGATTACTCCGATCCAAGTCGGCCTCGTTGCCGAGCTCTCCTTCGCAGCTCGAATGCTTTTGATCCAACTCCTTTCACACCCTTTCAAGGGCCTCAGTCTGATGAGTTCCCCCCCTCTATACGAAGAGTCCTTAGTAGGGATGATCAGGGGGGGGGGTACTAGAATCCCTATTCAGGACGGTTAGGCTGTTGCTTTTGTTGCTTTTTGTTGCTTCTGTTGCTTTTGTTGCTTTTTGTTGCTTTTGTTGCTTTTGTTGCTTTTGTTGCTTTTGCTGCTTTTGTTGCTTTTGTTGCTTTTGTTGCTTTTGTTGCTTTTGTTGCTTTGGCAAACTGAACGGCCCAGAGGCGCTGCTTGAAGAGGTAAGAGTATGTTGCATTGGCATTGCGCGCCTCGCCAGCTACGTGGCGACCCTGCGACCCTTTCAACAGAAGATGTCTGGCACATTTTGCAATATTTTGCACAGGAGGTTGCACGAGAGGCCGTGCAACATTCAGAAGCACGTCGCAGCCGGCACGTTTTTGCGATTGCCTGGAAGAACGCACGACGGAGGCCTTAACACGTTCGCAAGAGCACCATTCGCAACCGGCACGTTT